GTGTGTGTTATATGTATATATATATGTCTGCATGTGTTGTGTGTGTGTCTTTGTTGTGATGGCAGCTGATCATGGATCAGGTTTCTGGTGTGTGTGTGTTTGTGTGTGTGTGTGTGTGTGTGTGTGTGTGTGTGACAGATGGTGGTTTAGTGGTTCAGTGACCTGTAACTCATCTAACCAGAGCGCTAGTCACTGACAGCAGCTAGTCCAGCCTCACTCTACCAGGGTAACCTCTACTGTAAGAGTTTAGACTCCGCCCACAGCCTAGATCAGCCAATCAATCAATGCGTGCATATTATTATTATGCATGTTGTGGACAGTCTCACATGTCAGTCAGTAACTATACACACTCAGTGTTTCCCCAATCATTAATTTAGGGGGGCCTCGTCCAATCTTATAACCTCTCCCGGAAGCTCCGCGAGTCTCCCGCAAATTTATACCGGCTCCGTGATCCCCAACAACAGGTTAAAATACCACAAGTGAATGACAAGGAGAACAGATCGTGAGAGGCACAGTGATGCTCTGAGCATTACATTTAATAGGTTAAATAAATAGAGCAGTGAAGAGAAGGCAAGTGCAAATCACTCTCTCTCTCTCTCTCTCTCTCTCTCTCTCTCTCTCTCCTCTCTCTCTCTCTCTCTCTCTCTTGTTGAGGGATCTGCTGTCAGTAGCTGGAGATGAGCTGTATATCTGAATGCTCCTGCATGTGTTTAGAACTTGTAGAACAACTGAAAGTTCTGTTTTGACAATATTGCATTTACTAAAAGCTGGCTGGAATTATCAGATAAATAAACTTTATTTATTTTTAACATGAATGTTTAACAATATAACTTCATGTAACATATTTATTGCAGTAACAGTGTATAGGCCCTTTTCCTTTAGTGAAGGAGTGTTAGATTTATAGGTGTGCATTTTAATTCTAATGCATTAAACATACACTCCAAACTTGCTCTTGATTGAGACCTGATGAATGATTGAGTCATTGCATTGTTTGTATCTGTGTTGTATTATTTTCTGTGGCGGTTCATTCCGCTGTGGCGACCCCTGCTAAATATGGGACTAAGCTGAATTCACATGAATGAATGGATGAATTATTTACGTAACGCTGCTTCTGGCCATGACATGTTCACACCTAAACGGTTCTCAGAGACGTGTTTAGGGGTTATATGCAGGAGTTGGACGATGTTGACCAATTTGGCATCAGACAAAAAGCTTGTTTGATAGAGTGCGCACGCGACGTGTCTGACAGGGTCTCTGCAGATATCATAATGTCAAATTTAAGACCTTTTAAGACCATTAAGTATTAAATTTAAGACCTATATCGCAATATCAAAAACACGCGAGAGAAAATGTAAAAGCACAAAATTAGGGGTAAAATAAAGTTATATTGAACAGTAGTAAAGTCAGGTTAAATGCACCACTGAACTACAGAAAAAACACACATCTTAATGCAGATTTATACTTTCACCTGGCGCCACATCGCACAACTCACGAAACGGATTAAGGCTTTTATACCTGACTTGTTCACCATTGAGATGTTTTTCTCAATGACAGGGGGCGCTCTAAAACAACAGACAGTAAAATCAGACGAATAAAAAGAGAATCATGATCACTGAAGATGTTTTTGGGGGCCTCTTTTTTTCCAAACAAAAATTTACAAAAACTTTCCTCCTTTCCCATGGCTGTTGCAATTTGTAGCCAATAATTACTGGTCATTCTGGCGAGCAGAAATGTAGCTGTGATAGAAAATAGGGAAACACTTGATTAGATATTATAGCCTACTGTACTATTCACTCTTCATATAAATCCCACTATCAGTCCCATTTTATCACTGAAATAAAGTGAACACGTGTCTGCTGTACAGTGTACAGTAAAGTGCTTCAGTTACTCTGTTGTGGTAATACTACAGTTGCTATGGTAACACAACACACAAGTGTATTAAAAACAAACTACCCAGTGCTTTAGTTTTTTACAATATAGGGTATATTATTCTACAATTCACCACACTTTACTGTAGTAAAACTGCACTGTATTTCATTTGATCAGTTCACTATTCTTAATACTACAGTACGCTGAAGCATCCCGGGAAAAGCACGAAAGGAGTCAGACGGAGCGAGAGGAGATCATTCGCACGTGAGCAGCCAGTGTTTTGAGGGCTCGCGAGCAGTTTTGTCCACGAACAGAGGAAACCGGCGCGTGAGCAGAGATTCGCTCTCTCGTATTACAGCGCTCCCGACTTATAAAACTGCGCTTATGACATTTGTCAGTGAAATAACGGCACACTCTGCCAGCCGAAATCATCACGCACACTCAAAGCGAACTTCCGCAAACACAGTGATGACGTCACATTCACCGCGTGCACTGAGTTTAATAACTGAAAGCTGATTGCTATTGCAAGTTGACCTTTTTGCAATTGGACTAGTGAAATAAAGTACTACAACACCCTAAAAACCAAGCAACAACAACAACAACAACAAGAATTTAAATGGGCATTAGATGT